TTTTCTTATCTGTAAAATGGAAAAAAAAAATACTTTTCTCATAGCTTTTATAAAAATTTCACTTGTAAATACATTTAGAGGGCTTAAAGCAATGCTTGTTACAGAACAAGAACTCAATAAATGTTTTTAAATAGCATTATCTTTGTTATTATTCTCATTTTTCCAGTTTATCCTAGTGTGTAAGAAACTTTGTCCATGATCATGCAGCATAGTGTAACTGTGAATAGAGATTTGCATTGAATTAAAAACCAGACACATTGAGATACCAACTCTGGCTCTGCTATTTAACAGCTATGTAACTCTGTACAAAACATTAATTTCCTCATTATACATTGGATCTTGATACCTAGTTCGTAAGACTGACTGGAAGATCAAATAAGACAATGTATTGCAAACCTGCTCTTCCCATTTTTTGCCAGGATATGTTGCTCAAGGGGACAAAAGAGTAAGGGCACAGGAAGAATTACAGCAGTTACCTGAGATTGTTGGAGCTGAACCATCCTCTTTTGTCCTAATGGCACCAATTGCAGGTGATTGGTGGGAGAGCAGTGGGAGCAGAGAGGGCTATTGAATATGTGTTCATTACTTAACACACAATTATTGTCGAGCCAGGTGCTGTGCTAGGAGATAAATCAGGTCACTGCCCTCAATGAGCTCAGTGAAGAGCAGGAAACAAAGACAAACATAATTAGAATACCGTGTTCTAAGTACAAGAAGAAAGCTATACAGATGGCTGCATAAAGGAGAGATGCCTAGGGTGAGGGGAAGCTGCTTGGAATGGATGTGTATTAGCAATCTTTTGCTGTGTAACAAATTAGTCCAAAATTTAGTGGCTTAACACAGCACACATCACTTTGATGGGTCAGAAATCGGCGTGGTTTAGCTAGGTTGTTTCATGGTTTCTTGTAAGTCTGCAACCAAGGTGTTAGTCCAGGTGTGCACTCTCAGGTGAAAGCTCTACTGAGGGAAGGATTCACTTCCAAGCTCTGTGGCTGTTGTCAGAATTCATTTCTGTGTGCACTATTGAACTGAGGGCACTAATTCTTCACTGTTGGCTGGAAGCTGCCCTTGGTTCCTTGCCACGTGGACCTCCCCAGTATAGCAGCTTAGCAGCTTGCTTCATCAAATCACGCAAGCCAAGAAGACAAAAAAGAGAGCCTACTTGCAAGATGGACATCATAATTACCATGGAAGTGACACCCCATCGTTTTCGCCATACTAATAATCTCATTACTTTTGCCAGTCCTGGGCAAGACACTAGGTTCAGCTTATTCTCAATGGGAGAGGATTATAAAAGCGCATAAATACTAGGAAGCAGGGGCCATGGGGGCCCTTATTAGAAGTCAGGCTACCCCAAAAGAACTCCTGAACTGATTCTTAAAGCAAAGGAGTCAATATGAGTCTGTGTGGGAAGAAAGTAGAAGGTTGTGGAAGAGACACAACAAGCAAACAAGAAAAAGGGGGAAGAACGTAAATAAGTTATCTTATATCTTAAGATGTTATCTTAGAGGAAAAGAATGGGGAAAAAAGATGCTCTTAAATAATGGAAGGGAATGAGACAATTGATACAGATTAAGGGAAGGATTGGGTGAATTTTGAAATGAAAAACAGAGACTATTAGTCTTATCTGTGGAGTGGTTTGAAAGCCACACTGCTGATGAGTGTTATTTTCTTAAATTTATTTTGAATTAGCAAGTGGATAAGAGGTCAGAGTGACAGAGGTGGGCATGTATGTGCTGAAGCAAGGGTGGCAGTCACAGTTTGTTCCCTTGGCTTTTTATTTTTATTTATTCAATAAATAGACTTCTTCTTTAGACTACACTCTGATGGCCATTTAATTAGTTAATAAATCACTTAATGCCAGTCGTGATACTTTCCTGTGTCCTTTTAGTTTTTAGTGTACCCTGTGTTCTCATGTCCTTATTGATCCTCTGCTGTACTTGTAAAAGGAAAACTTGCAAAGAATCGCTATAATTTGACATTCTCACTCGTCCCCATTATCGCAGCCAAGATTTAATTTATGATGAGGAAGAATTGAACTTTGGGGTTCCATTTGGTCACTCTCTTCTGCCTCAGTATCCATGGCTATACAATGGGAATAACAGGACCCACTACCCCTATTTTTTCTAGTTGAGGTCAATATTGAATGAGATTAAATTGAATTTAAATTAAATTAAATCAAATCAAATTAAAATTTAAGGGGAACCTAGGTGGCTCAGTCAGTTAAGCGTCCAACTTTAGCTCAGGTCATGATCTCATGGTCTATGGGTTTGAGCCCCACATCAGTCTCTGTGCTGATGGCTTGGAGCCTGGATCCTGCTTTGGATTCTGTGTCTCCCTCTCTCTCTGCCCTTCTCCCCTTGTGCTCTCTCTTTCTTTCTCTCTCTCTCAAAAATAAATAAAAACTTCTTAAAAAAATAAAAATTAAATTAAATTAAAATTTAATTTTAAGTTTAAAAATTTTAATCATACATATAATATACAAGAAAGTAATTCACTCCACAAATGGTTATTGAGTGTACTGCTCAAGACACAATGGAAATGTCTAGAAAAGAACCCAATCCTTATGTGTGAGCAGCTAAACAGTAGTAAGAAAGAAAGATATTTCAACATATCCTTAGAATACAATTTCCTCAATTTCCTCAATGTGATAGCCAATTAAGGCTATTGACAAACTTATCACATTGTATTTTCAATATTTATTCTGTTTTCATGAAGTCACACGACAATATTTAGCAAATGCTACTGAGCATCTGTTTTGTGTGAGGCTTTTTTTGGCTGTGACATACTGTGGTAGTTAAGCACATGGACTCTGAAGAGAGCCCACCTGAGTTCAAGTCCTGGCTATGATACTTACCAACTGTGTGAAGTTGGTCAAGTTACTTAACCATGTTATACCTCAATTTCCCCTTTTGTAAAATGTGCATAGTAATAGTATATCTCCTAGAGGTGTTGAAAGGAATAAGTAAGTTTGTACAGGTAAAGTTCTTAGAACAGTGCATGGCATGTGGTAAGCACAGCACAGTGTTTGCTTTCTTAACTTTAGGCAGAAACATATGCTAGGCCCAAAGGATATAACATCGAACAAGAAGAATATAGTCCCTGCCTTCCAGTGACTTTGAGCTTACTGGATGAGTCTCACGCTCCATTACACACCAAGTCATTCCCTGACCCTGAAAGTTACCTGAGACAAGTTGTTCTTCCTCAGTTCCACCACTGCCCACCCAGCTCTCATAAGTGGTCATTGAGTCAGATCATCCAAAGACCTCTTATCTGTTCCCTCCTCCCCAGCCCCGGATCCCATTCACCCAGTGACTTCCAGTACCCCATCTTCCCTCACCTATGCCTCCTCTGTGTTTTTGGCAGTGTGTCAGTCTGAGCATCTATACCTTTGTTTCAAAACTCTACAGTGTTTCCTCACTGATTCAGGAACAAATTCAAATTCCTTAACAAGACCCTTTATAATCTTCCTCTCGTGCACCTCAATACTTGCCCAGAGACTAGGTTGTGTAGTGGTTAAAAACACAGACTCACAGGCCAGATGATTAGGATCTAGATCTATCATTTGCAAGTTATATAATCTCAGCCAAGTTCTGCATCTCTAAATGGTGACAATATCTACCTCTTGGGGCTTTTGTAAAGATTATATGATTTAACATATATAAAGTACCCTGGCGTGAGGTAAGCATTATCTAAATATTAGCAATGATTACCTGCCTTGAGTCTTACCTTGAGTCACTCTTCCTTCACTCCTCCATCCCACTGCAACCATACAGAACAATTGTTCATTCCCTACACAATCTCTTATCTACCTGCTTCTTCCATTCCTTTTATCACCCCATGTGGGGCACACACCTTAGGGTGACCCCCAGTGAGTCGCTCCTTGTGATCATGCCTCTCTCCTAAGGAGTTATTTGCTCTCCTTAGGTGCAGGTAAGACCTGTGATTTACTTCTAAACAATAGAGTATGTCAAAGTTGATGGGATATCCTTTCATGATTTTGTTCCATTATATAAGACTCTTTTAGCAGACTAGACTAGAGACTATCCTTGTTGGCCTAAGAAAGAAGTCATGTAGGAGAAGATCACATAGCTAGGAACCTCTGGCAGCCTCTGAAAACTATAAGTGTTCTTCTAGGATCTAAGGATAGCCTCTGTCTAATAGCCAGCAAAACTAGGGAGTCCTCAGTCAGACAACCATGAGGAAATGAAAGCTGTCAACAACCTGAATGAGCTTAAAAATAGATTATTCCCCAGCCAAGCCTCTACATGAGAATGTAGCCCACCCAACATCCTGAATTTAGCTTTGTGTTACCTTGAGCAGAGAACCAAGCTAAGCTATACCCAGACTCCTGACCTACAGCAACTATGAGATAATAAATGTTTGTTGTTTTAAACTACTACAAAGTGGGAATTTGTTACATAGAGATAGAACACTAATACACCCCCAATCCTGTTCACTTGGAGAAGCCTACTCAAAGTTCTGTCTAAGTGCTACCTGCCTACTCTGATGCTCCTAATTACAGACGAACTCTCCCTCCTCAAACCCCCATTGTACCTCCCGCACCCTTCCACAACAGAACGGTCGCATTGCATTATTACTGTTTATTAAGCTGTAAGTCCTTAAGGGTCCTTCAGTTTGTTTACCTTTAAATTTCCAGTTCTGAGAAATATGCCAACTTTGTAGGAGAGAGGAAGGAAGAAAATTGGGGGTAAAAAGACAACAAAAAGAAAGGGAGGATATCAGGGCAAAACTAGATGCTCAATAAATGTTTACTGATAAATGAATAAATAAACACTATTTTTATTATTTTCTTCTGAGGTCCATAAAATTCTACAGAGATGCTTTCATTTTACTTACAGGCATCTCAAAAACTGAGACTTTCATCATAATGGAAGACTGAATTATCCCTAACTCAGATTGCAAGCAAAATAAAAAAAGAAAACAGCATTTAGAGAAAAAGGTGGTACACCGAGAAAAAAATATTTTTATTTACTTTTATTTTTAAAAGAAAAACTTTGGCAGAATGAGGTCCAAATATTAGATTAAGAGGTAATGGAGGCAGTTTTTCCGGTAGGCCAAATGCTGGAAATACCTGTTGAAATAGACCAATTGATGGGAAATATGTATACAACTCAACCAACTTGGAAAAGATGTCATTTAACTTTATTCAATAGAGATAAACAATAGAAGACCTGGTAGATTCTCAATCTCTCAAAATTTTTATGAACAAACAAGGCAGAGTATTTAATTTCCTTCAAGGAAAAGGAAAACAGTTAAATTACGACTGCTTCTTTTTCTAGGATCCTTGTTACTTTGGAGCTCAAGTCATTTATTCTTATGTACAGACTTATTGTGTACTGTGTGTGTTATGTTGTGCCCAAGAAGAAACAAAAGCAAAAGAGGTCCACTATGATTTAATATATATATAAATGTATTATATTAATATATTAATATTAAATATATTATATTAAATAATATGTATATATTAGGGTCTCCTGGGTGGCTCAGTCAGTTAAGTGTCCAACTCTTGATTTCAGTTCAGGTCATGATCTCGCAGCTCATGAGATTGAGCCCTGAGTGGGGTTCTGTGCTGACAGAGCAGATCCTGCTTGGGATTCTCTCTCTGCCCCTCCCCTACTCGTGCTCTCTCTCTCAAAATAAATTAACATTAAAATTATATATTAGATTATATATATCTATTATATAATATTATTATAATTTTATAAAATATATAAAAATATATATTATATATAAATATATAATTATAAATTATATGTAAATTATAATTATATATATAATATATATTTTATATATATATATAAATTATATATTAGATTTGGTCAAACCCTAATGTAGCCAAAAGTAAAGCCCGAGTTTTTCCCAGTGTCTTTCTGCACATCACATCACAGCCACTGCAGACAGGCAAATGAACAATCCTGCTGCTGATGTAGTAGAGCCCCTCCCCAAAAGATGTGGTGAGGGGCACCTGGGTGACTCAGTCAGTTAAGCGTCTGGCTTCGGCTCAGGCCATGATCTCATGGTTTGTAGGTTTGAGCCCCACATCAGACTCTGTGCTGACAGTTATCTCAGAGTCTGGAGCCTATTACAGATCCTGTGTCTCCCTCTCTCTTTCTCTGCCCCTCCCCTCCTGCTCATGCTGTCTCTCTCTCTCTCTCTCTCTCTCTCTCTCTCTCTCAGAAATAAATAAAACATTTTTAAAAATTTGTTTAAATGTAGTGAAAACCTCAAGACAAGGGAAGGCAACTTGGCTATGTGTGCAGATGCAATATTCGTCACGACTCTGTAACATAGACCACCCTTCAGACTGTATGTCACTATATATGGCAAACAAAGGAGCAAAAATTGTACAAAAGGCAATCCCCCCACACCCTGCTGCACCCAGGCCTTCATCCTTTTGGGATCTTATCCCTCTGTGTGACTCACCACTACATTCTGTGGGGGCATTGCCTGGGAGGCAGAGATGGCGTTTTACCTCCCTTGTCACCAAGTACGAACTTTGGGGCTCTGGGAGAGGCAACCTCACCTGGCACCAGTGGACCGCTTGGTCCCTAGGAGATTAGCCACCACACAGCACACCAGGGTGAGGGCCTCAGATCCACAAAGGAACCTGGTGAGGCCCAGGAAACAGCTCAGGGCTGAGGCCCAGGAACACCGCCCATCAGACTGGTAAGAACCTGGGTTCATTTTTGTAGATCTGCCCCTAAGAGACAGAAGGGGAGCCTGATCACTTCCCAGAGGTGCCTGAGTAGTACCATAAGGAATGAAACTGCAACTCTAAGGCACCGGGCACTGGGCAGCAGGTTGGAGTCGCTGTGTGACTGTGTCTAAATGAGATGGACAGAGGAAAAGTTCTGACCCTGACCAATGGGTCAAAGTGAGTATTGAGTCCTGATCTGTGGTTCCGGGGAAACCTCATATAGTTTACGACAGTGTCAGACTTCCTCAGAAGTCTGATCCAGGTCAGGGCTTGATACTGAATCCACCAATGCTAAGTAGTGCCTGAAATATCTCAGAGAGGAGAGTAGTTGGAAATGGATAAAGCAAGTGTGTGTCCTCTCCAAATTAGTCCCTTCCTTCCCCCCTTTCCCTCTCTTGTGGGTGAAAGTTGTCCATTAGGGAGAGGAAATGGGTGGAAAGCAGAGTAAATGATTCCCCTAGAGTGTATGTTGAGGAATTTCAAAAAGGGATATTCAGGAGATTACAGTGTGAAATTAACTCCCGGAAAGCTCTGGACATTCTATGAAATTGATTGGCCATCATTTGAGGTTGGCTGGCCCTCTGAGGTCTCACTTGATAAGGAACTAGTTGGCTGAGTGTTCAAGGTCATTGTGGAGGACCCAGGCCACTCCCAACCAATTTCTTTACATTGACCATTGGCAAGACCTGGTCCTATTCCGGCCACCTTGGCTAAAAGCCTGTACTGAAGAGAACTGCAAAATTATGGTGGCTCAGGTCATGATAAACCCATACTGTCAGCAGAGCCTGAGGGGACCCCACCACCATACGCCACTATATCCCTCACTGCCACCTGTGCCTCCAGCCACCCCACCTACTGAAACCTCACCCTGGAGCCTGCTCCTAGTCCCGAGGCCTCACCGCCTCTAGCACCACCAGCCTCTCTGGATATGACTGGCTCACCTGGACCACTGGTCCTAACCCCATACACCCCTCCTGGAAGGTGATTAGAGATCAGGTCAGTGGAGACAGTCCCTCCCTGCAGCAACACTGGGGACCCCTACAGGTGCCACTGAGGAAAACTAGGAGACCTGTGTATTATGATCAGGAAGGCCAGATCTGAGGAAGCCAGCATGTTTTTGTGTACCAACCATTTTACCACTACGGACCTCCTAAACTGGAAGCACCATACTCCCTCCTATATGGAGAAGCCCCAGGCTATGATTGAATTAATGCCGTGCATAATTCACACCCATAAATCTACTTGGATGGACTGTTGCCAACTCCTCCTGATGCTCAAATTACCCAGGCAGCCCTAGGAGAATGGTCCAGCTGGGATGCTAGACACCCATGCTTATGCTCAGGCTCATTTCCCTGGGGAGGACCCCAAATGGGACCCAAATGACTCAAGTGTAGATGGAGGGCTCTCAAGTATTAACCAGTATCAGGAAGCCCTTCTAAATGGCATGAAGGAAGAGGCAGGAAAGGCCCAAATCTGTCAAAAGAAAGTCAGGTACCTTGGCTTTCACCTCTCCCAAGGGCAGCGCTAACTCGGCCTGGAGAAAGAATAGGCCATTTGTTTGATCTCAGTCCTGTTGACCTGCCATCAGATTCAGGAGTTTCTTGAGGCTGCAGGCTTCTGTAGAATATGGATACCTAACTTCTCAGTTTTGCCAAAACCCCTTTATGAGGTCACAAAGCAGGGAGAGCAGGAACCTCTGATATGAGAACAAGTATAACAAAGGGCCTTTGAAGAGATCAAATGGGCTGTCACCAGTGCACCTGGTCTGGGGCTTCCAGACATGTCCATGCCCTTCTTCATGTACATTCATGAACTTACTGGCATCACGATGGGAGTCCTAACCAAGGTGTGGGGGTTAGGGCATTGCCCAGTGGCATATCTCTCCAAGCAGCTTGATTCTGTTGCCTAAGGCTGGCCACTCTGACTATAGGCACTTGCAGCCATGACCCTCTTAGTGTCTGAGGCTGACAAGTTAACTATGGAAGAAGAATTGACAGTCAGTGTGCCACATTCAGTATTGACATTAATGGATTACAAAGGACAATACTGGCTAACCAACATCTGGATGGTCAGATAATACATTTACCTGGAAGTAGTGTGGACCCTAAACCCTGCAACCCTACTGCCTGTCAGGCCAGGTCAACCAGATTATGACTGCACTGAAGTCATGAATGAGGTGTTCTCCAGCCGACCAGACTTGACGGACCAGTCTCTCAAGGACCCTGATGCTGAGTATTTCACCGATAATAGCAGTTTTGTGAAAGAGGGAGAACACCTTTGTAGGGTACTCTGTGGTGACCCTGAATTCTATCATTGAGGCCAAGCCCCTGCCAAAGGGGACTTTGGCATAGAACACAGAACTCATCATGCTAACCCAAGCCTTCCAGTTGGTGGCAGTGATACTTGTTAATATATACACAGACTCTAAGTATGTCTTCACCACCCTCCTACATGTGGCTTTATATAAAGAGCAAAGTCTAATATAAACTCAGGAGGAAAAGACTTAAAGTATGGTAAGGAAGTCTTTGAACTCTAAGACACTGTGTGGTCCCCTAAAGAGTGGCAGTCATGCATTGTTGGGGACATCAAAGGGGAGACACCATGGCTGCATGGGGAAACCATAAGGCAGACCAAGAGGCAAAGCTAGGAACTTCCAAAGGAACAGTGGAATCAGTGGCATTAAACACCACACTGTTCCCTAGTCCACTGGCAGAATGAGACCCTAATTACTCACAACATGAGAGTACCTGGTTTAAGACTGGAAATGGAAGCTACCACCCAGGTGGATGGTGGAAATTTGAAGACAGCCGAGTAGCAATTCCTGAGGCCCTGGGTCCAGCTTTTGTCCAGCATGAGGAAAGCCATACTGTCCAGACAGCTCTGGAGACTATGTTAAGCCGACATCTCTACACCCATTGACTCTCCAGCATTGCCTGAGCAGTATGTGAGCAATGTGAAGTGTGTGCCCAGAATAGCCCACGTCAGGGACCCAAGGCCACCCCTGGAGTGCAGAGTGTCAGGGGAGTCCCACTGAAAATATGATGGTGGATTTCACTGATCTTCCCTGGGCCTGAGGCTGTAAATGCCTGTTGGTCTTTGCATGTGCTTTCTCAGGCTGGGTGGAAGCCTTCCCTACTTACATAGAAAAGGCACATGAAGTGGCCTAACTTCTAAAAATATCTTTCCTTGATTTGGAATCCCTATCACTATGGGATCAGATAACAGGTCAGTGTTCATGGCTGAGGTGGTGTGGCTGGTGGCAAAGAGGTTAAAGGTCACCTGGAAGTTACATACGGAATACTGACCCCAGAGCTCCAGGAAGATGGAATGAATGAACCAAACCCTGAAGCTTCAATTAAGTAAACTGTCAGGAAACCCACCCACACTGGGACCAGGTGTTGCCAATTACCTTGTTAAGAATCAGGTGTAGCCCCACTAAGCAGATGGAGTTCTCCTGTTATGAAATCCTATAGGGGTGCCCTCCCCCCATTATCAATGGCATAAGTGGGGATCTAAACGCGATAGGCAATCTAACCCTAAGGCAACAAATGCAGGCTCTTGGCTCTACCCTAAGCACCTTGCACCACCTGGTTAGGAAGGGATTACCTGTGAATCTGACTACAGATGCTCACCCTTTTAAACCAGGAGATGCCGTTTGGGGAAAGGAGTGGAATGTCCAACCCCTAAAACCCCTCTGCAAGGGCCCATTCACTGTCACCTACTGCAGTAAAGGTAGTTAAGGTGGGTCCCTGGATTTACCACAGCACAGCAAAGCCAGCGTCTTGAAACTGGGAGTGCATTCCTGATCCATCGACACCATGCAAGCTGACCATGTGGAAGGAGCAATCTGCAACTCCAGAGGCTCTGGGAAACTGCAGCTCTGCGTTAGTCACTCCAGAAGTTGACTAATCTATGCAGGACAGAATCTTGAGGAATCGATGGTCTGATGGGACAAATAGACTGTTCTTATTTTCTATATCTGTTTCCTTACTGTGATGCTGTCACCCTTGTTTCTTGCTGTTACTGTGATTCTTGCTTTACTTTTTGCCATAGGATTGACAGAGGCTGCCCTGGCTGGCTGCAAGTGTGGTGAGAGATTTCTGCTAGTACCACCTTCCCTTTATGAACAGAATGATTCATTGGTATTGGTTGCTTCTAATCGGGACCCCTCTGTAGACCTAGATCCCTCATCACGCGACCCATGTATTTGCATAACCAAGTCAGGCCAGGGAGTCACTTGAACCTTACTATACCATACCCACTTCTCATGCCCAGGGAAAGTCCTGGGGACCTGCAGACACAATCAGGCCACATATTCTATCTGCCAATGGGAGAGTCAATACACTTGCCTTAACCCACAGTACTCCCCCAGTGTAGATTGTTTAGAAGTCTGTTCCTACCAAGGTTCGGGAGTGGGGGATGTCTTAGTCAGCTAGACACAAATTACTAGCCCAAACGACCAGTGTCAATGCTGTTTGATGTATGTGCCATTATAGGTGTTGGCCTAGAGGCATCTGTCATACGAAAAAAGTGGGCACTTGTCATAGAAGGCCCAAGGACTCTTTATATACTATGCAGATGCTTAGACTGGCAGCGGGAATACCGACTCAATGACAAATCATATGTGAGGAAAATGGTTTATGTGCCAGTACACCTGAGTTTTTATGCCCCAGCTGAAGCTGTGTTTCATGGGCTACTTGGAAAAAAGAAAGCACAACAGTGCTCCTTCAGAAGGGGGGTGTTACATCAGGTTGTCAATCAAAGGCCTGTAACCTTGTTAATTTTACCATCACTAACCCAGGAGCTTCCAAATGACAATGGAGCACCTGAATTGGCATCTAGATCCATGGGCGAGGCAGAGACCCAGGGACAGTGCTATATTTCAAGAGAGTCACTACCACGCATCCAACCATGTCCATCGAGAAGTAGCCCTGCTCCCATTTCAGTCACAGCAAGGAATTTGTCTCTAGCCCTAGCAGAGACTATAGCCCAGACTCTGAAGATCTCTTCTTCCTATGTACGTAGGGGAATGAACATGGAAGTTCAATGGCCATGGGAGGCTGAGAATTAGATCCCCACAAGCCTTATAATGGAACAGAATATTCCAGTCCTACCAGGGTTTGGCTCCTCAAAACCTCAATTATTGGGACAAACTGGCTTGCCCTGTGGGGAAGAAAGGTCACCATCTCTGTTGGAAGCTTAATGTGTTTAGGCTCAGCCTCCTAGGAAACACAGGGGTGGGGGTCCCCAGATCACTTTGAGCCCAGATCCTCACCCCTTGTCTAACTTCTCTTACCTCCAAGAGGCCTCAGACAATGTCGATGCAGCTGTTGAATGGCAGGCCCCAGGTAGACTACACTGGATATGTGGGTGGACAGCCTATATAGTACTTCCCTCAGGCTGGTCAGGGTCACGTGTGCTGGGAACTATTTATCCATCTTTCTTCCTGCTCCCACTTGCCAGAGAGGAGGATTTGGGAGTCCAAGTGTATGGGGACAGGGAGACTCAAAGGAAACAATGTGCCCTACAAATTGGCAAATGGAAAGATGATAAGTGACCCCCAAATGTATAATCCAATATTATGGCCCTACCACCGGGGCAGAAGATGGGTCCTGGGGTTACCACACTCCAATTTACATGCTAAGCCACATAATCAGACTGTTCACAGTTGTAGAAATTATAACCAGTGAAAGTGCCAGAGCTTTTAACTTACTAGCCAAGTAGCAAACCAAAATGCACAATAGTATCTATCAAAATTGCTTGGCCTTAGATTACTTGCTTGCTTCTAAAGGAGGACTTTGTGGAAAGTTTAACCTGAGCAACTGCTGCCTACAGATAATGATGAAGGAAAAGTCATAGAGAAGATCATAGATCGAATGAGAAAGGTTGCTCATGTCTCAGTCCAGACCTGGAAAGGTTAGGACCCTGGGGAGTTATTGGAGGATAGTTTTCAACTCTCTGGGGATTCAAAACCCTCCTAACTATTATCCTCTTGATTCTGGGGCTTGCTTAATCCTACCTTGCCTACCTCCCCTGGTTATACAGTCTGTCTCCAACCTCATTGAGGTAATGGTCAAAAGGAAAACAGTCTTGCATGTGATGATGTTTTGGAAATATAAACCTCTAAACCAAGATGATGCTCTTTGACCCAAATTAGGAGGTCTGAGCATCAAAGTGGGGAATGTAGTAGAGCTTCTCCCTAAGGAATGTGGTAAAAACCTCAAGACAAGGGAAGGTAACCTGACTATGTGCAAGTGCATGACCTTCTTCATGACTGTAACATGGACCATCCATTCAGAATGTATGTTAACCATATATGAGAGACAAAGAGGCATAATTGTACAAAAGGCATCCCCCCGCTGTGCTCGGGGCTCAGCCTTTTGGGGTCTTAACCTGCTGAGCCCGTGCTGGCACAGATAAAGTTGCTTCCTGGAAAGAAAAGCCTCAGTGTCCCAACTCCCTGTGTGTGATGCACCGCTACACTGAGATGGAATGATGGATGGCTATATGGATGGACACCTGATGCTAACATTCAGTGATAGCAGGTGCCCTACAGGGTTAGGTCAGTTGCTGAGAGGAATAAGTTATGTATTAACTTCTTTCTAATAATAATGGCTATTTCACACTGCATGTATGTCCAGTAACTGCAAAGTTAACCCACTGTGTTGCTTGGGGATATATTCTAAATGGCAATATATAATGGTTAGTACCTGGCACATAGTAAGGCTACAACATTGGTCAAACATAAATCTAAACCAAAGCCTTAAAACTGCTCCTATCCTTTGGGATCTGAATGCTTGCAATTAGAGCTGGGATTGTCTGTGTTTATGTTAATTTGAGCGATGTTCTTGCCTGGTAGGCCAAATGTTGTAAATTTAAGGGTGTGACCTGAGATCTGATGGAGAACTGTTTCTTTTAACCTTAGGCTAGTGCAATGCCAATAAGGATAAACAAAAACATTGGATTTGATTACAGTCTTTTGTATTCATGATGGGGGAAGAAAAGGCCAGTGGGTTAGGGAGAAAAACAATTAACTGAACTAGCTGGTTTTATCAGAGCAGCTGATAGACTGTGTTGCTCCAAGCTATGTGTACCCCGGGGCCCTCCATTTTGCGACACCAGGCTAAGGATTGCATTAGTTTCCCAATGCTGCTGTAACAAGTTACCACAAACTTAGTGGTTAAAACAAAACACATTTATTCTCTTACAATTCTGGAGGAATTGTAAGCACTCCAAAACCAGTCTCACTGGGTGAAAATAGAGGGATATACAGAGCTGGTTCCTTCTGGAATTTCTGAGGAGACAACTGGTTTCCCTGCTTTTTTCAGCATCTGATGGCTGTGTGTATTCCTTGGCTTTGGGCCCCTTCTTTCATCTTCAAAACACATCATCCAGTCTCTGCTGCCCGCTTCATACTACCTTCTGCTCTAATAAGGACCCTCGTGATTACATCAGACCTTCAGATAATCGAAGATGATCTCCCACATGCCCAGAGACTTAAATTAATTACACCTGCTAGGTCCTTTTTGTCCTGTCAGGTAATGTATTTCCAGGTCCTGGGGATTAGCATATGGACATCTTGGAGGGCCATTGTCAGCTTATCTCAAGATTTAGCCACAAGTCTAACTGATAGACTTCCTGTTTAAATAGACGATGCAAATTTCAGATCAAAACCAAATACTGAACTAACAAATGCCTTTTTAAGTGTAAATAAGGCATGTTGCTTTGATTCTCTCAGCCAGCAGTTTCTCAACCTATTTTTCTTCTACAGGACAAGGTAGTGTGCCTGAATTTCTCATCAATAAAGATTGCTCACTCCCCATCTCCACAATATTCTGTGGCTGAGAACCACTGTTTTTAGGCATTTAGAGGTCTACAGAGAATGCTGGGATTAGTACTTTCCTAACTTTTGTGGTGAGGATTCTCTCCTGGTCCCCTTTGTGGTCCCCTGTTGACCTGAGTACATGCATTTATTAACAATCATGCTTGACAAACTCAGAGGAAATTTACTTACCTTTATCAGCATTAAAATGTCCCCACATCCTGCATTCTCCTGACTGGCTTCATTTCCTTTCTCAAGCTCAGCCAACGCAAAATAAAATCAGCTCCTAGGTTTTTACAGTCGTTCGTTGTGCTCATCAGGGCTATCATTGCCAGTGGGTGGGTGAAAATTGGGAGCAAGGGGATAGTGGGCTGGGCTCAGCATGATTCATTCCCCTGGTTTGTTTGGTGCCTGATGTCATCACAAAGACCAGCATTCTATTATATTTCCTATATTAGATAGGGGCAGATCGCCAGCTGGGAGCAGCTTGCCCTTTGCCCCTGCGATAGAGCCAAGTAAAGTTTGACTTGCCAATCTTGTGCCTCATCAGAACATCCATGGGCAGAGACTTTCTCTCCTTAATTAGAATCTGTCTTAGCGGATGTGCCAGGCCCTGGGAGCCCAAAGATGTTCCTACACAGCAATTTTCTTTCTCTCCCTCTTTTTTTAGTTTGGCACCACCTTGTCAACAGGTGTGATCAACAGTAAGGAAACATGCAGTGCCAGTGCTCCCATTCTGGTCCAGCATGAGAACCCACTACTGAAAAGATGGCACTCATAGCATTAGGCAGGCTGCCATGAAATCGTCCTTCCTTGGCACCCGTGCCCATGGTGAGCGTCTAGGCAACTTTTGATTGGGCACCACGCCCTCCAAACAGATGGGCATGAATGTAGGCAGGCAAGAGACCATTTATTTATATCAACTGTATTTGCCGAGGGCAGGGTTCCCAGCTGGGAACATCAAAACAGCTCTTTGTCCTGGCCGTCTGCAGCTCTGATGGAGGTGAGGCAGCCTTGCAAATTCAGCTGGATTAACTTTGAAAAATAAGAACAATGTTTCTATGGACACCAGGGGACATTTTTGGCTCTCTTCAATGGTTCAGAGCACAGAGCAGGCTGGGCCCAAGTCATTTTAATAAAATCTCCCTTCCCTGTTTGGATTGGATGGGAAAAAGCCAAGAAAGCTTTCCAAATCAGGCCAAATTTAGGTGAACGGAGTTAGCCCCACATGGAAGCCTGCTTTGTGAGTCCTTTCACATACAATGGCAAGAGGTTCCAAGGAAAATTAAGCTGAAGTCACCGAGACTCAGGCAATAGGAAAGGCATTCTGGTTGAGTTCACCACCACATTGTTTTTCTAGGCATCCATTAACCTTCCTGCTGTCCCTCCTGTAAATGATGAATGGGATCAAGTGTGAGCTGAAAACGCAAGGATGGACATTAGGGCTGGCTTTCATAAGAGCCTCACTTGGCTTTGAGGGTAAACATAAATAAAAAAGAATTATTTTCTGCATTTAAACATCTGAGAAATTGCAGTCTCTGAAGAGTATAACTTTTATTAATATTAGTATTAACTACTAAAAACTATTGCTTGCTTACAGTGCACCTGGCATTGTCTTAGGCACTTTACATGAAATCTTTCAATTCATTTTCTCAATAACCCAAGAGAGGTGGGTACTATTATTAGCATCATTACACAGGTGAGCACACTTAAGCTTAGAAAGACTTTCCCTAAGTCACACAGCTAGTAACTGGGATAACCAGGGTACAAACCCAGCACTGCCTGACAATAGAGCCCACAGTTATACCCCACTTCCCCCAGAAACACTGAAAGAGGCCAATCTGTTTAGTAATTGGCTTACCTAATTTACGGATGTTTCTTAACAATAATAGCAGTTTAGATCTGTTCTCAAACTTCAGTGTGCCTATAAATCACCTGAAAGATTTTGCTAATACACAGATTCTGTTCAGTAGACCTGGTTCAATAGATCTAGCTGATTCAGTAGATTTCTGAATTTCTAACAAGCCCATGAGGCTGGCACCCAGCTACACCGAGTGGCAAGGTTTCAGGTTAGAGCACACCGAGCCTCAACCTTGGCTATGCATCAAAATGACCTGAAGAGCTTTTAAAAATACCAAATGCCCACATTGCACCTCCCAGAGATTCTGATTTAACTGCTTGACAACCATTGGGTGAGCAGTTCTCTTACTCCCCAGCATTTTATTGTTTATTTGAGATGGGAATGATGAATTTTAAAAGTATCTTGGTTGCATTCCTTAGAGATGGAAAATAAGACAATAGATAAAGATATGATGCTCCCAGTCCTAGTCAGTTCCTTTTCCTGATACTGATTATTCATAACAATCCTTGGAGGTGGGTGATGGGTAGACCTGTTACTCACACAGTGGTCTTTAACTTGAACAGCTGGAGGGAGAGCAGCCTGAGATTCGCAGAACCCCTGCCATCATTTAAGGGCAGTGTGACAAAATGCGCAATGATGGAGGTGACAAGGAATTATGATCAGAAACATCATCCTTCTATGGCATAGCTTTTGTTGATTGTCATTTTTTGGCTGAGAGGATCTGAATATGGAAACCTGGGGTCACTCAAATCTCAACTATGTCAAACCTTTAATCAATTACACATAACAAGCAATAGTACGGATCAGGTGTTCAATGATTGCATTTATTAAGGAGGAGCAATTGAGTCCATGTTGGTGGATATGTGGCCGTCGCTCTTTTTGGGGTTTCCTGCAAAGTGTGATCAAACCCAAAGGCCTACAGATTATTAAATCCAAATCCATGTTTGTGCTGGCAAAAGCAACACATTCAGTGGGGAGAAAAGTATCCTCTTTTCAGAAGATCCAACTTCATGTATTATTGATGCAAAGATGATCAGATAAAAACTGGAACTTGGCAAGCTGTCAAATAAAAAATGCAGAGTGAATCAAAAATTTATAAAACAGTATTGAGTTATTACAATTCTATTATAGACACCAGTAATCATTTTTACTGAAACAAACCTCTTATATGATTGTACAGCTGGGATGTTAGGATACAAGGATTTAGGACTTGACCTCATTTGGGAGTGAGAATATCACAAAATTAAAAATTAAATATGAAGAGTAAATGATTTAGTCACAGTTCAGTAGCAGATTGAATAAAAACAATAGAGTTTTTAAAAAATAATGGCAATGTTTTCCTTCCTGGGCTACATTTTGCTGACTTCCTTGAAAAATTACTGGCATTAGATTCAGAGCAGGATGAATTGCTTTACAGAATCTGTAAACTTAATTTCTGCATGTGCCAAGCACACACACAACGCCAAGACACTGGGGAGGAAAAATGACTTGGTGAGATATTTTGTCACTTATGGATTTTCTTTTATAGAAAAAAATCCCACCACTATAGTTTTATTAGTTATCTCATCTTGTATAGGAGCCCTCTCCCTCCTTTCCTGGGACCAAAGCCCCTGACAGTGCCAGAAATATATCCAAGAACGGAGAGAGGGCTGTCACCATTTCTAAATATTCAGAAGATAATTGCCAACCAAAGTTAGAGCATTTTGACATAAAACATCCCTTTTGCTCCCAAACCAATTTGCCTATCCAAATCAAATAAACAGCTATAATTATAAAATCACACATACTGATACGTAGTCAGCATTAGGAAAATGACACCGAAAACGTTGACAGTGAGGCCTGCTTTCTGTCCTTGGCTTTTTCTCAGTGCCTGGGCAGAGAACAAAGAGGATCTCTCGGAGCTGAAAATGACTCAGAAGCAAGGTAAGTGTAGAGCAATGAGAAGCATCGGCCCTGGTTTTCCTGCTTTAGGGCTGAAACTTGACATTGTTATTATGATTTGAATAAGAGATAACTTTGTCTTTTAGAAACAGACCTGATTCCACTTAAATGGACTTCAGTCAAGAGGCAGAAAGGGCGAACTGCTTTGCTTAATCAGACACAGAGCCGACCTACCCGGTGACATGACCCACTTCAGTTCCACTGGGAATAGGAGAATATGGTCAACTTTCATTGGACTTTCAAAGGCAAAACCTTCATGTGTGAATTACATTTTTGCCAATGAGTCTTAATATTATAGGCTGAACACCTTACTTAAAGTGCCGACGTCAGGAATACCTGTGGGATTCATCAATCCCTATGCATAAAAGAGCACAAAAAAACTCAACTTCTCTGCTGTGACCTATGAATTATGTTGAATCATTATTTTGTGACTTGATGTTTCATTCATGTCACCGTGGCTGTTTTCAAGAACGTAAGGAAAATGCAAATGCAGGGAGAATTTTCATTTCCCACTGAGAACCAACTTTGAAAGGTTCCCATGACACTTGCATTTGTTTTGGGTAACTGGTTACATGCTCTGTTGTGTTCTTCTTCCCAGGATTAGGGGTTCATGGTGCAGAGTTGGCCCTCCCAATCGCTAGGGTGGGGAACTCAGCACAAACCAGAAGAGGCCTGGGGAGCCAGTGGGCTGTGACATCTGAGTGAGAACTCACTGTTGAAATAGGCTTATGTGTGTGGCGTAGTGTGTGCCCTGCCTCGGGGTCGGTCAGGAAGGCAGAAACCACATGAAGTATTTCACACAGAAGGGATTTAGTAGAAGGAGTTGGATCCTTGTACACCTATGGGTGGAAATAAGGGGCACAGGTTCTCAAGTATAAATAAAAATCTCCAGGGTAACATGCTTTCAAACTGCACCCAGGAGTTTGGTCAGCTTAGCCAAACACCCTGGTTCAAACAGCATTCCACCCATTTGGATCGCCTGACTTGCTTCTCTTGGGAATTATAAAATCTCTCTTCATTTCCTGTCGTCAATTGCAGCATGGAGTAGCTGAAGAGTGTTCAAGCAATTACTGTGCTTCACCAACCGGGTGCCTCTGGCCATAAGGGGCCTTTTGGATTCGCAGTCGCTCCACTGTCATTTCCCTTCCTTGGCTGATCCTGGTACAAATTGCTGATGGCTCCAAGAGTGTGTTCTCTTGCTCACTGGAGGGGAAGTCAGGTTCCTACAAAAATGCTCTTTGCTTTTAGATGTGTGTGGTGCTGGTATGGGTGGAAGGGTGGTGTGTGGGGGAAGGCTGGGGGGAGGTGTGTGGGAGGGAGAGGCATGCTGGCATTAAAGGAGCAGGAACCAGGGAGGCTGCACTATCCAGTGTTCTCATTTCCGACAGTTCTGGTAGTGAAGTACCACAGATTTAGCAGCTCAAGCCACACCCATTTATTACCTCACAAGTTATGTAAGTCAGAAGTCTGACAGAGGTCTAACTGGGCTCAAATCAAGGTCTCCAAAGGGCCGCCCTCCTCTTCCAAGCCCAGTAAGGCTGTTGGCAGAATTCAGTTCCATGGGATTGTAGAACTGAAGTTCTAGTTTCCTTGCTGGCTATCAGCAGAGATCATGCAAGCTTTTAGGGTCTCCCTTATTTCTTGGTTCCTTACTCCTTTCATCTTCAAAGTACTGGTGGATTGAATACTTTTCATGCCTTGTGTCTCCTACCACATCTTTCCCTGATTCCTCTGTCTTCCTCTTCCACTCTAAGTTTTGGGGTCCACCCAATCTATGTAATCCAGGATAACCTCTCTATTTTAAAGTCCATAAATTTAATCCAATCCACAAAGCCCCTTTTGCCATGTAATGTAACATGTTCGTAGGTTCTGGGAATTAGGACATGGGTATCCTTGGGAAGCCAGTAATCTGCAACCACAGCTGGAATGATCTCCAAAATAGAGAATTGTTCCATCCAGAATGCCATTAGCAGCCTCTTTGAAAAATATGGAGTGGGTGATTTGCCTAAAATGCAAATCTAATATGTCTCTTTCTTGCTCTGAAATCCTTCAGGGAATCCTCAGTGCCCTCAAGACAAAATCCAGGGCAAAGCTTTAGCATGCCTACCAGAAAGTTCCTTATGATCGAACATCTCTTCAACTCTAGTTCACAAAGGGCTTTGCCTCTGTCTGTTGGCCCCAGCCACAGTGAATAATTTTCTGACCATCCTGTGTTCTCTTACCTCTCATTCTTTAGGTAGGTTCTTTCCTCCATCTGGGCTGCTCCTCCTTTTAACTCTCACCCACCTCCTTTAACCTATTCCGACTCACCTTTCAGATCTTACTTTAGACCTTACTTCCTCACGAAAGCCTGCCACAAGTGTGTTAGACACCACTCCTACATGTTCCCATAGCACCCACATGCCCACCCATACCGTTTATCAATAGGCTTCATAATTTCTGGCCTGTTTATCATTCCTTCACAAACTCTAAGAAGACAGGGATAGCATCTTCACTGTTTGTTGTTGTATCCACAGCACTTAGCTCACACCTGCCATATATTTACCTTCAGTACATATTTATTCATTAAATACATTACTTAATCTTGTTAAATGTTATATAAAAGATACAGTAAATTTGGTTCCAACCCTTCTCTGATAGAGGCATAATCATAGCAACAGCTGTGTTCCAAACTTTTAGACAGCATTTCATCTGAACTCCACATCTGCATAAAACTAGGATTATTATTATTAAATTGGTGTTACAGAGGAGCAGATCCAAATTCAGAGAGGATACATAATTCCTTATAAAAGCATGTGACCCACAAGGGGCTAAAATAGGACCCAAGTCTGGTTTCTGTTTCCCAAGTCAATACCATGGTATCTTTCTGTAGCAACAAGTAAAATCTCATAGTTTATAAAGCACTATATCACAGAGTCCTCATAACTTCACTCTAAGACAAAAATATTAATCCCTTTTTTAAACATGAGGAAAGAGACTCATTGAGCTTAAGGAACCAATGTCACAGAGTTAGTATGTGGCAAATTCAACTAGAAACCAGATATTTTAATTCCATTCCTGTTATCCTAATTCTACCACCTCTGAACTGGGAAAATAGCAGAACTTGGAGCTTGGCAATTTATTCTTAACTTCATGTCATCATCTCACACCTCCCTGCCCACATACAACTAAGGAACTTACACCAATGAAAACTCTGTTTGGAAAAAAGTGAACTCTATTAATGAATCATTTGTGTATTATATATAAGGTGAAAAGAGAGAGAATTATATTATATGAATTTAACCTCCAAAAAGATGATAGGTGATAAATAATGGCAATTACTTTAAGAATAAATATTGATTATCATAGTGATCAGAATACCTATATGGTATAAAATCTAACCTTGAGGTAGAGACAACTGTCACCACAGTGTACCAGTCAGGACTCTTTTGGTTCCATTGTAGCCAGCCTCCAAGACAGCCTCCAATAGTCTTCACCTCTATTCATGTCCTTGTGTATTCCCCTACCAAACTGAAACAGGGCTGGCCTATATGAACAATATATAGGTCACTGGAGAAGTGACAATGTGTGACTTCCAAGGCTAGGTCATAACAGACATTTGTTTCTCCCACGTTGGCCTCCTGGATTACTTGTTCTTGGGGAAGCCATCTGCTATGTCATATGAACACAAGTGGCCCTGTAGAGAGGTCTGTGTGAAGAGTAAGTAAAACTTCCCACCAATAGCCAGAACCAGTGTACCACCATGTGACTGAGACACCTTGGAAATAGATCCTCTAGCCCCATTCAAGCCTCTGGGTGACTGTAGTGCCCACCAATATCTGAATGAACAAATCAATCCCAAGTCAAAACCACCCAGCAAAGCTGCTCCTGAATTCCTGACCCACAGAAACTGAGTAATAAGAAAATAAATGTGCATTGTTGTCTTAAGTCACCAATTTTTGTAGTAGTTTATTATTCAGTAACAGTTAGCAATAAAGGTTGCAAGTGACAGAACCTTAATTTCAACTAGCTTTAAACAGAGTATAACGTTTTAACTTGTGTTCCTACAGGAAGGCCTAAGGGCACATGGCTTCAAGGACAATGGAACCAAGGCCCCAAAAGATGCCCAAACATTTTTTTCTTTATCTCTCATCTCTGCTTCTCTCTGAACATATTTTTCATTCTCTCAGACAGGCTTCTTTTACATAACAGAAAACATGACCACCAACATGATCAGGAATTACATCTCACTTTCTTCCATCCTAAGTTCTAAAGACTGAAAATGCTCCAAATGGCCAAGCACAAATCATATGTTTATCTCACGTCAAAGAATGGAGGCCAAGTTGATGGGATCCATAAGAATATGTCCGTTTCCAGGGCACCTGGTTGGCTCAATCAGTTGAGTGTCTGACCGGCTCAGGTCATGATCTCCCAGTACATGGGTTTGAGCCCACATTGGGCTTTCTGCTGTCAGCACAGAACCCCCTTTGTACCCTCTGTCCTCCTCTCATTCTGTCCCTCTTCCTCTCTCTCTCTTTCAAAAATAAACATTAAAAAAAAGAATTTGTCCATTTCCATCCAAATCACATGATTAGGATGAGGGCGGTAAGACATTTCTTAGAAACAGAATCAGATAAATACAGTTTCCCTTGGAGGAAAACAAGAGGCCTACTTACTACCCATTGTATGTTTGCATAGGAGCATGATAATGCATCCATGGTCAACTAATTCTAATCCTCTGGTGACACTTGACATCATTGTTTTTATGTGTCTTTTTATCACCTGGCCAGATCACATCAGTCAAATTTCCATAGAGAAATAAATCTTGGGGGCACCTGGGTAGCTCAGTTGGTTAAGTGCCTGACTCTTGATTTTGGCTCATGTCATGATCTCACAGTTCATGAGATTGAGTCCCTCATTGGGCACTATGCTGACAGTGCAGAGCCTACT